TAAAAACTAAATGTGTGTCACATAAATACTTTATATAGAAAAAAATAATTATTGTATGCATGAGTGTAACCGTATTTCATTCATGTTGACCTAATTTATCTGTCTTTTGTTAATTATTATTTAATATGATATTAAATACATTTCTATTTTATTTCTCACCAAACAATATAATAATGAATAGTGTCATACAACAAAAAGTTGCCTATAAACAATAGAGAGAATAAAAGAAACATTTTTGTTACAAAAAAATAAAAATAAAACACAAATATATATATAAAAGTTTGTTAAAAATATTTAAGATATATATATTTGTGTCGAAATTTGTAAGACAAAATAGTTAAAGATTAAAATCTGTATGTTGAAATACCTAATAATATAATAAGATTATTTCGTTATTATAGTCTAACATATTATAAAACAATTGTCATCCATCGGTTATAGAGATAAAGTATATTGATTACAGCAATTTATAAATTTGTTAAAATCTCTTTGGATTTAATATACATATTTAGAGTAAACAAACTAAAAGCCAACAAATTTAAAACCCTTTTCAAATAAACACTTCTTTAATTATTATAAACTAAACTAAGTTTTTAGTTTAACTTATGATATCTTTGAGCAGCTTTAAAATATAATTGTATGAATATTTAACTCTATTTTATTGTTAAAAATTAATACTTTTCTAATTAAAATATTAATATAAATAAAAAAAAAATATATTCATGAAAAATTAATCCAGGTAAGATTATATATTAAGAGATCTCGACAAATTTCCGCTCGAAGTATTTTAAGTCGAATCACAAGAATCTGGATTTTTCCATCTTCAGGTAACTGAATAATTGTGATATAATTTGAATTTTTACTACTCTTGTGAAAGAGCACAGATTTTTTTCTCATTTGGAACTGACATTAGTTTAACATATAAATTGTAAAATATTAATATTAAAATAAAATGGAAGTGGTAGTTATTCTGAATAAAAAAACTTTAGACCATAGAAAATGTAATTAGGATGACAATTCGTAATATTTTATTTTTGAATTATTGTACTAAATGTATTCAATGTTTTCGTATACTTTACTTATTACTTTTATTTATACAGGGTTTCTACTTCTATTAAAATTAAAATTAATCGTGTTCGCATTTTATATTATGATTGAAGAATAAAAATGTATGTCAATAAAATGAACATAATGTAACTTTAATACAGTATTTCCACAGTTACATAGTATACTGTATAAACTAGTGTAACATTATGTATGCGGTTTATCGTTGGAATACATCAATATTTAATCGAAACTAAAAATGTCAAAATCAAGTAAATGATATATGTTTTGTTTTTGTTTTTCACTTGTGCGTTTTATATTTGATAGTGAAACTTTGAAAACAAGTTCACACCAAGAATAACTTTCTGGGAGATGGTTAGTCGATTGTCACATCTCCCCCTTCACTAATCCACGACTTTCTGAAAGTTTCAAAAGTCATTTTGCTCAAAGGAAGTTGTCAACACAGAAATGACGACCAAATATTAAATTATACATTTAATATTCCACTTGACCGTATCGTACGCAGAACAAATACAACATTGACGGGAATGTTTTATTTACATATAAACATACCAACTGTGTGCAGTGATAAAATACAGCAAATGAATTTCAAACCGAATGGCGACAACTAGACGACAAGTATTATACAAATCTATAATATATTAGATACGGTAGGTATTTCGATTTTTTTTGCATATTATTATCAAAATGATATACACACTGATCACGTTTCTCATTATGGACACTTACAACACTAGTCTCATTGTATCAAAAGAAAAATACACTCAAACGAATTGTGCGCGCGAGTGTACAGTGTAAGAGGATTTCGGGGGTTGTCGAACAGCTGGACAATAGAACAGATTCGCTAAGGGTGAAAGGGCTGTTGAGCGTAAAAGGTGTTCGGCATATTATATCCTTTCACTTTCGTTATGTTATCCACACACTCTCACACTTGCGGCATATATATTTTTCGGGCTAACAAGGTCTATTATAATGCTTGGGCCTAATGACTATCCACACACTTTATTATTTTTTCAAAGCAAATCATGATCCACATTCCACAGTATTCGAATTTGTAATAAAGTGAACTGTTTATGTTTTAATTTAAAATCGCTTTCAAGAATTTCCACTTTCGATTCAAAGGGGATATTTAGATATTTCAACACCGAACACAATTGTTATATAAAAAAAAATACATGTTATCAAAACATTGTAGAAATATTATGCATTGTTAATTTCACTTTTAAAAATTTTTAGATAGTCGAATGACACTAACTTTATAAATTGTACGTTTTAAGAAATAAAACTATTTCTTATATTTTGTCCCTAGCCCGTATAAAACTATATATTTTAATTGCTCGAGTCATTAATTAAAGATTCACAAATTAAAGTATAATATTCAACTGTGGTTTGCTGCTGTTAATATTTAAAACTATTATATTAATGTTTGCGTCCATTATGAGTTGAAGTCGTTTTGAATCTTTGTATTGCATTTAAATTATTTTAGAACGATAATAAAAACGAGTTATTACAAAAAGATTGTTTTATCAGATAATATTGTTTATTTGTTTGTACATGTTTATGAAAACGATTACACTACATTTATTGTCCTAAATTATTACGGTAACATACGCCACTTTGTACCATGTTGTACAAATGGACTTTAATCTATGTAAATAGAAACGTATAACCAAAACGTACCTGGCCGCAATGGCCATCATTCAATTCACCACAATTATCAGGTTTTTGTAAAGCCGTCACACCATACTTAATATTTTATATTTCCAATGTATTGTTTTCCGCTTTATATATTTTATGCAATTTATTTCGGTAAATTTTTTCGCTGATAAAAAAAAAACGATACCTACCGCTACCATCCAACAGATGTTGACTACACTATTGTACTCAAAGATTTATTATAAAACACCCAAAACGTGACATGATTTACTTAGGTGTTCCGTATGCGACATTTTCGAAAGCTAAATGTCAATAGTATATACTATGTACGGGTATTATTTACCATTGACGTTTTCTTTATTTTTGGTATATTACTTTATAAAATTTAACGGTGATTTGTCAGAAAATAAATATCAATTTTGGACAGGTTGTAAGTATGTACGTATGGTATTTTGATGAACTCGGTTACAAATATTAGTGTTATATTTCGCGACGTAATAAATTCGTTTTTTTTGTTAATGGATCATTTAATACTCATTTAAATAAAAAAAACTATCCTCGCATGACTAGTTTAATTTCATGATATTTAATCATTGCTTAGCAAGTTGTATGAACAAAAATAATTACCATGATTGGCGTATACAGTTATTATAATTATTAATAAAAGTAATTTTTACATTTAAAAAAAAAAAAATATTTTGTGTCTGGACATTATTCATTAGTCATCGCAGAACATTTAAATTAAGTAAGTATGCCACTATCTGCACTGCATATCATATTAAATAAAATAATAGCATCAGCAGTTAAGGGATTTTATAATTTTTATCAAAACTAACACCTTCTTTATTAAAATAAAAATAAATATAATAAAATATATGCATTGTTGTTATAAGCAGAAAACCATCTTTTATAATTTTCATAGAATTGATAAAAATAAATTAAAGAATTATGTAATTATGTATTTATGTGGAACGCATAAAACTTAATATAGGTTTTATTACATTCATGATTATTTTTTAATCACATTTTCATATAATAAATAGTTGTAGTAGATATAGCAAAAACCAAGAAAAATAAATAATGTTCCCTTTTAATCAACCATTTCTATAAAAACTATTAAATAGTTCATAAACTTCTATTGTATTTATGATGCTTTCTATAGTGGAAATATTGTTTTGAAATCCTATTTAGGGATAACCGAAACAGGAAAGAGTTTAATACTACTTTTTGCCGAATATGATAAAATTGTAATAAACACGACCATTAACTTAGATAAGTTAGGTATATTAATTACTCCCTCAACTTTTCCATTCTCTTGTACCAGTAGCATCGGTACAACAATTAAATCAATTTTTTCATTATAAATATGATCAAGTATGAAATTGTTTCGATAAAATACAAAATTACAATAACACGGAGTGTTAGATAGGCAAATCAGGTACATTGTGGTTGAGGATGTATTTTTGTGCACACTCACATAATTGTACAATATGACAAGTTGTATACTTTAATATATAACCATAAAAACAATTAAATCTGAAGCAACTATTAATTATGATATAATATAATAATTTTTCTTCTATTATTATGTAATATTATAATATTAAAATTATATAATAACTTACTATAGTATAAAATTACTAGTATTTTCAACAATTTAATTTTAAATTACACCTGTGAAAATTGTGTAATGTGTGTTCTAATGTATCTTTCAATAAAGCCGAAAAGTAATACATATATACCTATCTGTAAACTTCTTCCAATAAGGTTAAAAATAATGCACTTTAAATGATATTTGAAGTATAATCTATGAAGAATAGATTCATGATCGAGCCATTTTAATTCGAAATATTGTTCTTTTTCGTACCTCACCCTTGACTACTTGAGTACTTGACTAATATATTTAAATTTTTTACTTCTCGGCCGATAATAAACATTGCATCATTATTTTTTCCACAACAGAAAATATAACTTTGGATTTTTCAATCATGAACATTGTTGCGTTATTAACTGGCTCCAAACGTAAAAGATAATACTATTATAATGTTTAAACAAAAACTTTAAAATGTAATCAATTCATTCAAGTACAATAATTACATTACCATTATGACAGTGAATTTATTTTACTCGAAATAACTTTCTACGGTTTCTGACGAAAAGTGTTCATTATTCGTACGTTTTTAATTAGGTAGTTTTATTATTTGAAAATTTGATACATCATCATTCATCGTGATATTAGCACGTTCAAACGAAGGCAACAAAAACATTTTTATACTTACTGAGTATTTGCAGCGTGTGTTTTAATTCTACTGGTTCAAGGGTGCCAATCTGGCATATGTAATTTCCAGCGTCGTTGATTTGCACATTGCGGATCTCCAAGTTGTATCCTTCGACGATCCGGATACGTTCTTCCGGTGTCACTTTAGTTGTACCGGCGGTCAAAATTGCTATTCCTTTCTTCCAAGCCAGTACAAAGTTTTCTGAAATATAATACGATAAATATTATATGAACATATATATATAAATATTCATATTGCACAATATTAAAAATTAATAGAAATCAATAATTAATTACGAACAGCTTTAAATTATATACAACTATTCTGTTGTAATACTACATCAGTATATAACGTTATCAGTATCCATAAAATATATATTATTTGGATATTTGTGATTTACATTATGTACTGTGGGGAAAAAAATTAACGTAACTTCAAACAAATTGATGGATATCAATACTACGTAATTTTTAAAGAATTTCCACAAAAGAAAAGCCATTTTAATGGTTTCTTTGAGATATCATATCGACGATTTTACTAAATTGTAATATTATGTACTCTTGTTGAATTTATATTTTTGGGTGAATTATGAAGGTAATTTATTTAATAATTCATTATAATATTCAGTATCGTGTGTCACACCTACCTACACAATTACAAACATACATTGTATTAAATAGTTTAAAAATTTGTACTTTACAATAGGCTAAGTTAATGGTATATTATGTTACATGGTATGAATAATTAAACATACTATTGAAAAAAATATGTTTGTTGATAACGAGTTAAATTTTTAATGTATAACACATTATGACTTGAAAACGAAATTGACAATAGATGAACAATGTTGAACATAGATACCATTAAAAATGTAAATCTTATTAATCCATTTCCTCACATGATAATGCAAATATTGGTCCTGGGCGCTGATATATATAATACAACACTTTATATTATTTAATTTTAATTTAAAATCTAAGAGTTTTAATAAAAAGTTTCATATGTGAAGTCCCACCGATGCGTGACGTGCTTAAAATAATAATAGGTACCTATGTACATATTTGCTGCAAACAAAAAGTCATGTTTTATGATGTACATTAAGATTGATGTAGGTGCATAATATATACAAATATAAAAAAAGAAATTAAATATGTATGTTCAATTAATATTTAGATGTATTCTACATGAGTGGTCTCACAAAATAAATTTTTATGAATTTTGTTAGTTGGAATTTTATCTATATTTTGATATATTTTTAGAGATTCAGTAACAATTTTTTTAGTCATATAATTCATTACTGAGAAAGTTGAATTACTCTAATGCTTATTCTTGATAAATTAATATAATAAAAAACTGTATATTTTGTTACACTTTAATAAATAATAGTTTAATACAAACGTTTACAAAATATCAACCACCATCAAATAGTTATATCTGGATCACCACATAACTACAAATTATCCGAGTAGCTATAATAGAGTGCATTAACATTTCTAAACCCTATTCAATATAGTTAAGTTTAAGTGAATTGAAAACTCGAATAGAATCTCTCGAAATGTTCATTACGCGCAAATTAATCCAACCAATCCCGAGAGTTGCAAAGTTATGTAACCCATTACGTTTCCATTATAATGTAACTATTTTTATTTAGACGTTTTGATAATTAACATTAGTTATAACCACTCAATGTTTTTTAAAACACTATCTACATTTGAACATATTGTACTGTATATTGTAAGTACCTATTTACATATAATAATCGTACGTACTATTAATTGGTTATATGAAATCAAACCACAGCTGTGGTTAATTAATTTCGATAAAAGTAGGAGAGACGTATCGAATGACAAGCGACTATATCAATGGTCATTGATTAAACTTTCATAATATTGTTTGAGAAAAATAGACTTAAAAAAAAATCCGTCAAAGTGCTTTGGAGTTACTCGGATGTGGTTTTCGTTTAAAACGGAAATATATCAGACGGATACCTACTGAATATATATTTCTTGGCAAATAATTCCGCTAAATGACACGTGTGTTAACACAGGATGTTAAGCCCTAAATCAATAATGTTTTAGAGTACCTACATTACAGTTAATACTCAAGTCGACCATATTTTATTATATGGGTTGTATACAGATTTTGTTGCCGTCATTAAATTTCAATACCATTCGTGGTCATTCTTGAACATTGCAAATTGGGACGCAAAGATTAACCTTTGCCGTCTAGGCCTAATCTTATACAATTACAAAGATGTATAGAATGATGGCTATAAAAATCGCCCCTGTCAAGCTGATTAATTGTTTTTTGGCCGATGTTTCGAAATGGAGAAACTCGCCAGTCCAGAATAATGAAGCATTCTGCTGAAAACTAGAATTACAAATAAAACAACCTCCTTCATTGTGCTACATGGTTTTTGAAATGAGATCAAGCCCATGTTTCAGTGGTTTTCACGTACAACTAATTTTGAAGAGTAGATACGAATTACTAAAATACAGCTTCAGTTAATAAACAGCAAATAAAGTAATAAACTGTTTGAAAAAATTATATTTTTCCTCTTCTAAAATTAAATATCATATAATAGTACATATTATAATATTGTATCTATCGTCAAACTTTATTATAATACTTATAACTGTTAAACTTTTTACAACTTATGTTTTATTTTAATTATAAAACCATGATACGTCCTATACACATTAAAATAATAACTTGTTTAGTTCAAAGAATAAAATAAGACGGACGGTTATAATATTAAAATATTCATTTTTAAAATAAACTTATATGAATATATTTCAAATTTTAAGCAATATAATGTTTCAGTTATCATAACATTTCAAAGTTTTTCTGCAGTTGATTCGAAATAAGTAAATATTTTAATGATTAAAAATAAAAATACTGTATTTTTCGGTGTTTCGGAGTAAGAATTTGGAGTATGAATATGAGTTCCAAACTTAATACACTCTATCACTATTAATGTCTCTAATTAGCATTTTCCAATTCAACTATATATCTTTACACTTTTAAAGTAAACTATCCAAAATATGAATAACAGTTGAATGATAAAACATTATAATGTTTCCATGGCAAGAGTCAAGGAAGTACCTATAGTAATTTGATTATCAATAGATACGAATTTATTATATCCTGATAAATGATAATATATAAAAAGTAAAAAATAATAACAATAAAAAGAAAAGACGGACAATTGTAAATCCAATCACTCCGCTCAGAATCTAAAAGTTCTACTTTTGTGATCGACAGTTGACCATAGGAAATAATTTATAATTGTTAGAAAAGCGGCAGTGAGTTTATTTAATTGTTGTTATTGATGAGCACAAGACTTAAGCTCGCAATTATTTATACATGGACAATTCTTTGAATACAATCGTTTCAACAGTGAATGAACATTTTTTGAATTATAACAATACATCAAATCTTATAATATGATACATAATATATAGGGAGGTAACTTGAAAGTGCGTAATTATAGTGAATAGCTTACTGCCAAACGTCTTTCATTATTGCATTTGAAATTTTTTCTTCAGCTAACAGTAGGTATATTTTCGGAGATAACGTCTATCTATTCAGGTCCGGAAAAATAATACAACTGGAAAGTTCATTGATCTGTTCTAATTCTGAGTAGGTAGGAGAGGAAAAAAAAACGGTTTTAATCTCATCGGACAATGGACTACAGTTACGGGACATTTGTCAGACGATGGGATTGCAATTACCGGCGATGCAGCCAAACTTTGTATGTCTTGCATTGTTTCGGATGGCTCAGATATCTTAGTTTACTGTTATTCGCGATCAATAAGTCGTAGCCAGTATCGATCATCGTCGAACCTTTCGACTCGCATTACCCACTAGATTATACACTTATATAGCCACGTTGTTCTTTATAACTCCAACTTCTTCATACCGCTTTCGTATTCATTTCAAAGGATCATTTTGAATACAACTATAATACTCAATATATACAGTGTGTTTCAAAAATACGCGCCAAAATATTTTTTGAATCGAATTTAATGTACGCAGCTACTGATATACGATTTTCTTTGAAAATACCTAACAGTAATACTAGATTTTTTTATTTTTCGATCGTTATTGTTAGTCACCGACATGTTTGTTAATCAACAAACGAAAAAACGTTCAAACGTTGTGCTTAGTAGTTGGCGGAAACGCAAACTGACAAGTGATTGAAGTAAGTACTCGGGTTAAGATTTGAAGATAGATATCTACTTCAAAGTACTAAAACGATATTTAATAAATTAATATATATAAAGACATTTGGACATCATTATGAAGATGTGATTATTTTTTATACGAATCAATTAAATCGACTTTGCAAGACTTGGAAATTTAATTGATTATAAATAATTATTTTTACTGTTATCATATTGCATAATAATTATATTTAATAATACACAAGACTATAGTAAATACTTCACAAATTCGCTATACTGTTTCCTTGTTTGATTAATTAATTATATTATATAGTACACTATTATGGCACAGCAATGAAATTGTTTGTCTATTTAATTAAAATGTATAAACCTACTGCACTTAGGAAATTCTAAAACTAAATACACATATGATTTATAGAATATAAACACTTTAATAACGAAGAATATCAGGTACTGACTTATTATTCTTAGAATTTATTATTGTTTAAATGAAGATTTGATATTTTTAACCTAATGGTAAATAGGAATAATGCATTGATTATCTGTTGTATAATACATTAATACAACATTGAATTTATCTGTTACATCTATTGCCAAATTACCTATGCCATACTGTTTTAATTATTCATATTTCGTCTGGTTTTGTAGAACTCGTCTTAAAATCGAATGCATAAAATAATTATTATTTTATAATAAAAATCGTGTGAATAAATCTAATTTTCGAAAATGTATTATATATCATATTATACCTGGAAGTACAATACGTTTTCCATATAAAAAAATTAATTCATTTTATAAAATGACGACCCGATATTCCATTGCACGTCCGGTCAGTGGTCGACTGTATACGTTTTTTTTTTAATCTTTATTTCGTATTTATGTCATTAATTGTTACTCTGCCATTCGTTTTATATTCAATGAGTTTGTAATATTGAGTTTATATAACACTATTTTCAGTTTTTTGATAGAAAAAATGTTGAAATAAGTATTTTAAGTTCTGAGAAATTTGTGGAT